TTGGTACGAAGTGTATCAGACCCGCGAAGATCCGGGTTAGAATTAATCTTCAGTAACCCATGCTTGTCGTAAGAGGCGACTAACGGGATCGGGTGGTCAGGCTCGCTGACTTGGTTGACACATGTCATCGGTTCCCAATTGCGCTGCTCATGCTGTTGATCACTGGATTGTCTGGTCCAGACTCGATTATTTACAGACCGCCGCCATATAGCTGGAATATTGCTGAATGCGGCGTAAAACTGAACTCACTAACCCACTCACTCACTACAAGTGTATCAGTGGGTGTAAAATCCCGAATTCGAACCTCCACAGCACAGATCCCCAACACCTCTTACTCATCTCCTTTACATGGATGACATCGAGCTCCTTGCCAAAGGTGATACCAGTTTGAAAGAACAGGTTCTCCCTGTCGAGTTCTTTTCTTATGATATTGGCATGACATTTTGACTAATGTAATACTCTTCATGTGAAACGTGGCAAGGTAAATAATGATAGATCGGTCAGGTTACAAGGGGAAGGAGTTATTGAGCATCTTGTGCAAGATCAGGCCTACACCTATCTGGGAATGCAAGTTCACGACAAGCCGAGTATAAACCTCGCTTAAGAAAATCCGGAGCTCAGAGCTAAATGCTCGAAACAAGGCCAAAGCCACCAATACGTTTGTTGTGCCAGTCCTTTCCTATTCCTTTTGAGTATGGACAAAACAAGACAACAGTTTTGCACATATTTATTTATCGGATGATTCTCTGGTGATGCATGTCAAGACTCATGATGAAAGCAAGGAATTCCACAGCTATTTTAAGCGTGCCAAGGTTGTTGGACAGATTCTGAAATTTGATGTTGATTTTGTTGATGGCGATGTCCTGCTGGACGGTACAGCTATGGGAGTAAACCAGGCGAAGTCCTTCACCAAGTCCGCCCAGAGTCGGTCATTTGTGGAGAAGCTTTCTGAGAAGTCACTGTATCGTGTATACATGCAGTGTGTGGAACAGAATTGCAATCCCACCGACTCCTTCGCCTGGATGAAGTCAGATGGTCTTAAATGTGAAACTGGGGGTTTCTTTTGCTGCCCAGGACCAGTCACTTCCCACTCGCAATCGCTTAAATGTGATTCTTAAAGAAAATATTAATATGAAATGTCGACTGTGTAATGAATTTACAGAGACTAGCAACACTTCGTCAGTGTATGCCCATCCTTGGCACAAACATGATATCTTAAAATATCCGGAAGGTTCTTGGTGGGTTCGACTAGGAAGCGTTTCCAGGGAGAAGTCCCATTCGCTGTCTGGGCCAGGATCACCCAAACCCTCTCTGCTGCATTTTGCATCTTAATATGTAAAAGAAGAAGAATAATAATAATAATAATAATAATAATAATAATAATAATAATAATACCACCTTGTCAGTGGATGCCCTTCTTTGGCCCTCCACAAACAGCATATCTTAAACGACATGATGGCATGGCCCGTTGCTTTTACTACCGTCTCCGCCATGCCTGTGGCTCTGACTCCGAGGTCCATCCATGGTACGACCCTGAACATGTCCAGGGCGTCATGGAAAATGATGCTTTTAAACTTTTGTGCAATTGGCCCATATACAGCCTTAGAAGAATTCCTGCCAACAAACCTGAATCAGATCTTGTCCTTTTTGATAAAGCCAATGAATTTATTTATATCATTGAATTTTCTGTCCCTTTTGACAGCATCGTGATTGGCAAGATCCAGGAAAAGCATGCTAAATACGCGGACCTCGCCTTTGAAATGTCTCGCTTGCATCCCAAGTACACAGTCGTCAGGCTCCCTCCCCATTGTTCTCAGTGCCCTTGTTTTGGTAGTTAATTTGTACCTCCTGATCTATTGGCGCAGATCAGGAGATTGCCTGGGTTCTCCACCGGGCACTCTGGGTAATGCAGAAGGCTGCAGTGTTGGGGAGCCTTCATATTCTCCGGAAAGTTCTTGGTGGGTTCGACTAGGCAGTGTTTCCTGGGAGAAGTCCCATTCGCTGTCTGGGCTGCGTGTAGAGGGGACAAGGGTCCTGAGCTGATGATGAGCCTTACTAGCCTGACTGTGCCAGGATCACCCGAACCCTCTCTGCTGCATATTAACTTTAATCTGTAAAACATAATAATAATAGCATGTTTGTTCTGTGCATATATCCATGCTTAAAGACCCGGGTTCGAATCCCCACATGGGTACAATGAGTGAAGCCTATTTCTGGTGTCCCCCGCCGTGATGTTGCTGGAATATTGCTAAAAGCGGCGTAAAACCAAACTCAGTCCATGCTTAAGCATGTTTTACACGCACAAAATAAAATGCAATTGAGACAAAGAGCTACAGTTGAAAGGCTATCTTGAACATGTGTGGTTTTAGATTGGAACTGAAAGTTTGAAAGTCACAACAGTCTCTGGGGCTCTGCGGCTCATGCCATTGATCCTGCATGGACTAAGGACCTGTTTCCATACTGCACTGTCTTTACTTTGGGAACAACAAGTAAGTGCTTATCCTGTGAGCGGAGAGATCGAGAAGGCGTGTACACAGCTAGAAGATTGAATAGATAAGAAGGTGCAGTTCCAGTGAGACAGCGGAAAACAAGACATAAGAGTAGAATGGTTGGACCATCCCTTTAACAAAGCAGTACGTGTGGCAAGGTAAGATTGGCTTTATGCAGGGACATCCAAGGCCAAGATGGAGAGGTCTTCATGTCAGCCAGGTTTAGTCTGGAATATGGACGAAAGTGGTGTTACCGATATAAACGTTCAGGCAAAACGGGCGAAAAATAGAGGTGAAAGAGAAGAACTGTTGCATAAATCTGGCACCTACACGTCTCATCTGCTTTTATTCCCCCGACAAAAGAATGCGATCTGCTTTAACGAACCACCAAGGTCTATTGAAAAGGCAAGTGAAAATGGATGGATTAACTACGATCTGTTCTTCTGTTGGCCCAAACATTTTGTACAGTACGCAAAGCCCATCAAGACCAAAAATGCTTGCTCATTCTCGATGGGCACATGGTACAACTGTTTGGCGTTGCCGAGACGGTGATGGCAACAATGCTCAAATCAACCAAAGGCTTTTCCTGCACAGTCCCGGATGTTTTCACTCGAGCTCAGTGTGCGAAATAGCTACTGGCCCGATAGCCCGAGGCTAGCAAAAATCAGTTCGGGACAGTAAATCTCCACAGTCACTTACCCGACTGGCTAGTGAATTTTCATGGGGTCATTTTGTAAATATATCACTTTCTCCGACTTGTTAAGCTATAATACACTTTTGAATCATGCTAGATTATGGCCTCATAAAAATGTTCATCATATTAGTAGTATAACGATAACATATTTGTATATATTTGAGCATAAACAAAATATTTAAGAAATTCAGACATGTGTTTTCTTATTTGTATTAATGGTATTTTACATTTTTGTAATCATTTGCTTAGTTACTACATTCAAATTTCAGGCTAGTGAATTATTTTGTGGGCTAGTAACTTTGAGGCATAGTTAGCCCGACTGGAAACTATTTTGCACACTGTTTTAACTGATGACAAACTCCGCTGTGACAGATGAACCCGTGCCTGAAACACAACAGGCCTCCGATGCAATATTGCCGTCAGAATAGCCAGATTCAGAGTCTGGAACATTAGATGTGGTATTGTTGCCAGGGGAGCAGGGCAATTGCCACCGGATAATTGCCACCTAGGACAATTGCCATCCAGTTAATTTTACTGTAATAGTTATGACAATTGACACCCACATTTTTATGTATAAAGCAAAAACTTTGAAGTTTTGGAGCATTTTGTTTAATCCCACATAACTGGATATATATTTTGTCAGATAAGATAGTATGATTCAATAATCTATTAGTGTATAATGTTCCAAACCAAACAGGGTATTATAACAGACTAAGTTCTTTTTTAGTATAGATAATCCCATGTGAAAACTTGTATTGGAAATCAAGTAGTTTGACATCTTTTTGTAAGTCATAAACATCCTATTCCAATCAAAAGTTACATTAGCAAAAGATGCTTGCCATTTAAGACACACCTTAGGTAAATGTCCATTAGAAATCAAGGAGTCATAAAAAGATCTAGAGCCTTTGCATGATTTCAATAAATTCAAATGGCATTCAGTTATGAGTAAATAAAAAACTGGGATATTGCAAAGAATCTTATCAATGCTTATTTTAAGTCCTGACATTTTATAAAAAAAACTAATAATTTCATCAATAGCAGCCTTTAAGAGGTACAGTGACAGAGAATGATACTCCTTCCTGCATTCGCGTTCATTTACGAAAAATTCAGAGAGTTTACCAGGTTGGATTTCACAGGATGTTATTTTATATGTCAGTATTATTTATCTAACGAATGATTTCAGGACCAAAACCAAATTAAGCTAAAACAATAGTCAAGAATTCTTGAGTAGATACTGTTTCGAACGCCTTCTCAATATGAAAAGTGGTTATATGGAAGAATATGTTATTATTTGTTATGGATTACCATGTCAAACTCAATTAAAGTTGGTAAAGAAACTGAATTATTAATTTTCTTCTTTTTTTTTTCTTTTTTGGGGGTGGGGTGGGGGTTGGGGTTGGGGATTGGGTGGCATTTGTCCGGGTGGCAATTGTCCTGGGTGGCACCGTATATATAGGTGTCGACTGAAGGGCTGTTGCGGATGTTTAATGGGTGTAATTAAGGCTTAGTTTAGGATCCCATTGAGCCCATTTTAGGCAAACGTGTTTGAAGGTGCGCTTTGTCTTACCCTCCTATATTTCTCCCGCATGCGTGCATCGCCTTACAGTAACAATCTCCAATTTACTTGGTTTCGTTTATTTTTTGGTCTTGGGTATGCACTTAGAAGGAACATAAAACATACGTGAAAATATATAGCCTGTGAAAATATTGTCCGTTTTGATACAAGTCCATTTCGTCCCTGGTCCGTTTTGATTGACTGTTGCATTACCTCCCCGGTCAACCTCGACCTTCATCAACTTCCGGTTATTGGTAAATGACAACACAGATCTCCGATATGTCACAGTGTCAAATGGATTTCAGCTGATATTCATCTATTACTAGGTATCATGATTTAACACCCTTCATGAAGGCTTTCCTATGTGGTTTCAATTCTTTCCCCATATTCTGCATATTGTGAATCCTTGGGTTACCTATATACCTCGGTCAATAACTTTGTGAAAAGTACCAAATCGGGCAAGATTAGAGAGGATGTAAATTTCGTGTTCCTAGCCGAAACCATATCAACACCATTTAATAAACAGTAGCTGACACTATCAGACGTTCCTTCCTTTAAATCAGTACGACACAAGAACACATGATTGTTTTAGGTGTTGTTGCATTGTGTTTCTGTAGTGAAAGCCGATTTCTGGCCGCTATTGTTTTTTTTCGAACGGTCCTCTCAGAAGTGATGCTACTTTACGTACGAGAATCTGATTATTATTTTGCAAGTTCCTAACGATCTATACGAACAACTCTCTCAAGTGGTAGAGAGAAGGGTTCACCTTTGCTTTGTGCCATTTTGCAGATTGTTTACTTTTGCGACAGGCACCAAGGTGTAAGTCATTTTCCATCAGTACAATGAAAATCAGCGCGAAACAAACTATTTCAACATGCTTGGTTTAACTTGTTTTGTATGATTCAGTCATATTCTTATTGAAATGAGTTTTCTTTCATAGATATATTATATTTTGGCATATTTTCTACATATGTTGTTTGTGACAGATCTGACACAGTATGGGAAGTTTTCTTTCAATGACACAATGTCAACATAAGACATTTCTTCTTTTACTCAAAAGACTGTGGTTACAATAAACAAATATTTTGACTGAAAAGAACTGACTATTGCTAAATAAAGAACTTTACACAAAGTTCTGAGAGATAAGGCCTTTAAAATGCCCAAATGCCCTATCCAAAAGTCCATCCCACAAAAAACCCAAACACATGCAAAATCGAAGGTAATTATGTCAATCTATGAAAAAATCCTGTCCCAAGTTTTTTTTTAAGTCCGCTGCAGCATTTGAAATTTCTAAATTGCTGTTTTTATAGCACAAATAAGGGTTTCAGTGGGTGAGGATGAAGGCTGTTGGCTGTTTGGTAGCTGTGTTATTATTGTTAACATCTACACTGAAACATTGCTTTGTGTTTTTAAGAAATACAGTTCGCTCTCCCCCAGTGTATAGTGTAATAAAGGACACTTGTGCCTTTAACTATTATAGATGAAGTACGAGGCCGCTTGCGTCCAATTGCATTAAAATTATTATTGTACATGACAAAAGGTACTTTATTAAACTATACATGGGGGTAGAGCGAACTGTATTTCTTTTCTAAGTTGCCAATTTAATACACACAGGAATTAATCTAGGCAGAAAACAAACGAAAAAGCGACGGTGTTGGTGTCCTAAATTATCAACCCTCGCTTAGATGCACGTTACCAGAGAAAACACAAATGATAACAGTTTTCTGATGGTTTACATTCGATTTAAATATCTTCTCTAAATTATTTCAATTACATATGTGATTCACGTAAACCATTAGGTGCAATATGAACGTCACATTTTTACTACCAACGTAAGTTACCATAGATCAGTACATCCAGATGAAGCTGACTAGTCACGCAACATTCCACGGATGCATTGTTGGAATAAACATTGCGAATGTTGTGGTACCGCTGTTTAATTGTGAGTCGAACTGAGAAATTTTATCCGTCGAAAAACATGAACGTAATGTTTCCACCAGTGATGTTAGCCAAAAGAAGCAACTGCAAACCAAGAATTGGGATGCTACAGAGTAGTTTACTGTAGGAGGCTGTACGAGGTGATGACAGTTGGCATCCATTGTGATGTCTGTTTCAAGGGTACGTGTGATAATGAAGGGGCAGACGAGAATGGCGTAGTGATGTCAATGAAGTGTGACGTCATGCAAAAAGTGTACTTTATCGCCTGACCTTTTATCAAAGCATCTTTGAAAATATAATGTTGATCCTCCATGCCTTCCTGTGAGTAATGTGCCCACCAGAATCTAAATGCCACTCAAAGACCATGTAATAATTGATGTGGCCCCCATCATGCCCGTCTATCTCACTTTACTGCAAATTTTGCTTCCTATAAACTTCTGGGTTTATAAAGTTTGTGCATTGTGTATTTGTCCTGCAATTGTGTATCTAAAAATTCATTCAAGATACCAATAAAATTCTATTTCACCATTTCTGGGAGTGTCTGTGGGTCTGCTTGTTTAAGTTTTTAATTGAAACTTCAGGTGTTTATGTCAATATAACTTGTCCCTTGTCATGCTGGCTATGTTAACATGGTTTAGTAACACCTCTTGCAGGTTGCTACATCTCATACACACATATGAAGAGGCATATTTCACCTAAAGTACAACTGTATTCAAACGTTTTATCTGAATATTGTACTTTTATGTTGTGGTTCGAAGGTTATAGTCATATGACTTTTTCCACCGGGTACCCATTTTCCTGCTGGGTGAACAGAGACAATTTTGAACAAACTCACTTGCCTAAGGTGAGACCACATACGTACCATACACATTAAATTTCAACCACATTTTATTCAGTATCAAGCTATATGTGGATACCTAATACTAATTTAGATGAGTACACTGTTGATAACAAGCTCTAAGAATATATATATATATATATTATATATGACCCCAAAATACTAATTTTTGCATCATTTTTTGGTCAAAATACTTATTGGGCTAAATTAGGGTTGGCATCTGTGTGTTTGAAGTACAGCTGTGTTCTGGTTTGCAGGCAGGATGGAGAGTTGGCCTCGCAACATGCCGGCAACCCTGGAGGATCTCTGTGTGCAGTACTGTGTGAAGAACCTGGAGACCTTCACACACCAGGCCACAACAACACACCACACCACAATGTATACCCTCTTCCCAGGAGTGTCCCTGCCCAAAACAATCTGTGATAAGATATTTCACTTCTACATGGAGCATGTCGATCATGCACATTCCACTGCAGATGGCTTCCTCAATATATTCAGTAACGTTCGAGGGACACAGCTCAGTCGACTAACCTTAGCAAATTCTTATGTGAGTGACTGTGGACTAGGTCTAGTAAAACATCAACCTATTGTAGAACTAGACCTGTCCTGTTGTACAAGACTGTCATCTGACTGCATCCCGTTCATCAACAAAATGGGGAAAACCTTACGGTCACTGCGCTTGGAGAACACTACAGATATGTTTGAGGGCGTTAGAGATCATGTAGATTCTATTTCTGCTGCACAGAATGAAAATTATATTGATAAAGTGCCAGTAGAAAATGTTGAACAGAATGATGACCCTATTTTGAACTGTCCTCATCTCCGTAAATTGTGCATGAGAGATTTCCAGTTGGAAGACAACTTGCTGATTGGAAACGTCCAACTACATGATGTATTCCGCTGGTGTAAGCTGCTGACACACCTGGACCTATCTCAATGTACTGTTGCCATGGAAACCTTTCCCCACTTCCAGTGCTTACATCACCTATTGTCACTCAGCCTTGCGGATGTTGACATTCAAGACTTGGATGCAGTCATTGACAACTTGTGCCAACTCAAACAGCTCAAGTAAGTACTGTACAGTTATAGGTATTACCTTTTGAATTACCGCCTCCGTGGTGTAGTGGTTAGAACGTCCGCCCGGAGAGCGGAAGGTCGCTGGTTCGATCCCCGACCACGTCATACCAAAAGACGTTAAAATATGGTACTTGTTGGTCCCTGCCTGGCGCTCGGCATTAATGGGTACAACAAGGACTGGTCGGCTCGGAGTCAGTATAATGTGTCTGAGTGGGGTATTCATGCTTCACTGCGGCATGGTATCTCAGTGGGCTAGCACTATAAAACCAGCTTAAGTCTGGGCTAGTACAAGCAGCCGCACATGCATGCACGTCGTCATATGAGCGAAATATTCTCAAGCACGACGTTAAACCCAATTTCACCTCACCTCACCTTTTGAATTCTTAAGCCTTAGGCATTTCTAGGACAGAATGAGATTCATGCTTGATGTGAAGAAATGATGTGTGTGTTCAGCATGTGCTTTGACTGGCATTGTAACATGACACAGAGCAACCTCATGTAAATGAGTGAGTGAATATGGTTTTACGCTGCTTTTAGCAGTATTCCAACAATATCACTGCAGGGGACACCAGAAATGAGCACCACATGTAAATGGGTATGTTTGAATTTCCCAAGGAAACTGCTTCTGTCACATTCTGTTTTGGTACTGCACTGTAAGTGAACATCCTAGTTTATAATGTCAAGGATGTCTCCTGTGTATAGCCCTGAGAAACCTTTTGGGCTTATTGATTAGTAATTTCTAAAGGCATTTAAAGAATAACTCAAGAATGATTGTAAGGAGATGACACTGAGATATGAACATATCATCCTAGGGACAGGGACACCATTTAAAAAGTTTGTGAGTGACCTATGGAAAAGGTCAAGGTCACAGTGAAGGTCAGTAAGAAAAAATGTTCTACATGTCCACAAAATGTCCTAGTAAAGGTAATCCTATGCCATCTTGTGTTGTTGAGAGTGGCGCAGGGGTAGCCTAGTGGTTAAAGCGTTGGCTCGTCACGCCGAAGACCCGGGTTCGATTCCCCACATGGGCACAATGTGTTAATCCCACTTCTGGTGTCCCCCGCCGTGATGTTGCTGGAATATTGCTAAAAGCGGCGTAAAACTAAACTCAGTCAGTCAGTCAGTTGTGTTGTTGAGTGTTGTCTGTTGTCTGTGTTGTATGTATACATCATGATATCACACCTGTATTGTATTTCTCATGATTTCATCACACCTGCTTTGCTACATAAAAGATGCCTATGAAATAATTGCTCATCAATACCCTATTTTCCGTCATGCATGTATGTGTGTTATTTAGACACCTGGATGTTTCTCAAGGCCAGTCAGACACTCCTGTGATGTACCCCCATCCTGAACAGTATCTCCAGCAGCTCGTTGCCGGCCTCCCTCTTGTGACATCACTTGACATCTCAGGCACCAACCTGGCTGGCTTTGAGAAGGCTGAGATCCAGTCATTCAGGCCCAGTAAGAACCACCATGAGGAGACATCACAAGAAGCAGACAGGTATGTATATTTCACACCTGACACATTCAGCCACCGTCTAATCTACAGTACATGATCTAATTACTGGTTGCAAAGTTAAAAGTTGACTTAACGATATAAGCTCAAACATAAGCTATATGAATAGCTAATAACTAGAAATGACACGGTGCAATACATGATTCCTTTGTTTTATTATCGATTCAGATTTTGACATATCTATTATTATTTTGATGTTGCAGCAATGTTCGTGTAAAAATCCTTACTAAAGCCTGTTTGTAATCCATTTAGCCCAATGGCGAATATGAGACTGCCCTGACAAGTCTTGCTAGCTTTACCTTTTAGCCAAAGATAATACATACAGTGGAATCTGTCTATTATGGACTCGCCTGGGACCGACTCATTTGTCCGGATTGTAAAGCAGTCCGGATTAGAGTCAATTTAGACAACTTTTGGCCGTTACCGTAGACACTGCCACGATGACTTATGCTATTTTCTTTTCAAAAAGCTGACGGTATTAATGTTCACTTTGCTAATACACTCTGTTTGCTTATCTTGTATTTCTCAGTGAGATCTTTCTGTTTTGACCTCTCTGACTAGTCAATAAGTTTCACTTTGTCAGCAAGTGACAAATCAGTTCGCCTACGTTTCGCTGGTTGGTCTGCCATAACTATGAAGTGAATGTGAAACAAGCAAGTAATCTGTCGTTAATAAGACTGCGAAGTGACACTGAGTTAACTGACATTAATTATGTGTGTGTTCACATTGTAACATGACACAGAGCAACCTCATGTAAAAATGAGTGAGTGAATATGGTTTTACGGCTGCTTTTTAGCAGTATTCCAACAATATCACTGCTGGGGACACCGCCAGAAATGAGCACCACATGTAAATGGGTATGTTTGAATTTCCCAAGGAAACTGCTTCTGTCACATTCTGTTTTGGTACTGCACTGTAAGTGAACATCCTGGTTTATAATGTCAAGGATGTCTCCTGTGTATAGCCCTGAGAAACCTTTTTGGGCTTATTGATTAAGAAAGTAATTTCTAAAGGCATTTAAAGAATAACTCAAGAATGATTGTAAGGAGATGACACTGAGATATGAACATATCATCCTAGGGACAGGGACACCATTTAAAAGGTTTGTGGTGACCTATGGAAAGGTCAAGGTCACAGTGAAGGTCAGTAAGAAAAATGTTCTACATGTCCACAAAATGTCTAGTAAAAAGTAATCCTATGCCATCTTGTGTTGTTGAGGAGTGGCGGTGGGGTAGCCTAGTGGTTAAAGCGTTGGCTCGCGATCGCGAAGACCGGGTTCGATTCCCCACATGGGCACAATGTGTTAATCCCACTTCTGGTGTCCCCTGCGTGATGTTGCTGGAATATTGCTAAAAGCGTAAAACTAAACTCAGTCAGTCAGTCAGTTGTGTTGTTGAGTGTTGTCTGTTGTCTGTGTTGTATGTATACATCATGATATCACACCTGTATTGTATTTCTCATGATTTCATCACACCTGCTTTGCTACATAAAAGATGCCTATGAAATAATTGCTCATCAATACCCTATTTTCCGTCATGCATGTATGTGTGTTATTTAGACACCTAGATGTTTCTCAAGGCCAGTCAGACACTCCTGTGATGTACACCCATCCCTGAACAGTATCTCCAGCAGCTCATTGCGGCCTCCCTCTTGTGACATCACTTGACATCTCAGGCACCAACCTGGCTGGCTTTGAGAAGGCTGAGATCCAGTCATTCAGGCCCAGTAAGAACCACCATGAGGAGACATCACAAGAAGCAGACAGGTATGTATATTTCACACCTGACACATTCAGCCACCGTCTAATCTACAGTACATGATCTAATTACTGGTTGCAAAGTTAAAAGTTGACTTAACGATATAAGCTCAAACATAAGCTATATGAATAGCTAATAACTAGAAATGACACGGTGCAATACATGATTCCTTTGTTTTATTATCGATTCAGATTTTGACATATCTATTATTATTTTGATGTTGCAGCAATGTTCGTGTAAAAATCCTTACTAAAGCCTGTTTGTAATCCATTTAGCCCAATGGCGAATATGAGACTGCCCTGACAACAAGTCTTGCTAGCTTTACCTTTTAGCCAAAGATAATACATACAGTGGAATCTGTCTATTAAGGACTGGACTCGCCTGGGACCGACTCATTTGTCCGGATTGTAAAGCAGTCCGGATTAGAGTCAATTTAGACAACTTTTGCCCGTTACCGTAGACACTGCCACGATGACTTATGCTATTTTCTTTTCAAAAAGCTGACGGTATTAATGTTCACTTTGCTAATACACTCTGTTTGCTTATCTTGTATTTCTCAGTGAGATCTTTCTGTTTTGACCTCTCTGACTAGTCAATAAGTTTCACTTTGTCAGCAAGTGACAAATCAGTTCGCCTACGTTTCGCTGGTTGGTCTGCCATAACTATGAAGTGAATGTGAAACAAGCAAGTAATCTGTCGTTAATAAGACTGCGAAGTGACACTGAGTTAACTGACATTAATTAATGTGTGTTCATAGAATTAATTAATTCATTAACCATTGTGAACAGAAGTAACGTAGATGTTTAGTCAACAGACTGTTATTTGAGTCAGCTACGTCCTGATTACAAAGCATTATTTTCATAGCAAGTTGATTTTCGAGACTGTTATTTTAGTTAGTAATATGTAACTGAGAGAGTCCAGATTATAAAGCAAGCTTTAATGATAAAATAAGAACAATTTTGCTGGGACTCGGAGAGTAGTCCGGATTATGGAGAAAACCGGATTACACAGAGTCTGGATTTGACAGATTCCACTGTATATGATTGGAAAAGGCCAGACCATGCTAGAGACACTAGCCAATCAGATACAATGAATACCAGTAGCATCCTGGATTTTGCTAAAGGCAAGTTGAGAACACGCTTTGTTTTGTTTGGCTGGTTGTTGTTTAATGCCGCACTTAGCTCTATGATAGCGGTCTGTAAGTAATCATGTCTGGGCCAGACAATCCAGTAATCAACATCTTTTGTATTGATCAAGTGTTGTAGAGTCAGTTCTCATTTGATGCAGCAGGTGTTGTAGAGTCCGTGGTCATTAGGGGTGGGCGATAAAACCGGTTAACCGGTATATTGCAATTCGAACTTCACAATACGACATATTGCGGTACACTTTTCGTGAACCGATACGATCGGTAATTTTCGTCATGTAGTCAAAACTAGTAATATCATTGGTATTTCCTTGATATTACTGTACATTAATAGTTTTGAGAATGTTTATTGGTCATATATTTGCATTTGCGTGACTTTTAAACCATTTAAATAGAAAAATAGATTGGTACCGGCACTCATTGTACTCAATTGTAGGGATAAACAAACCAAAATGGCTCACGTTGCTGCAGGCGCTTTTTCTCGAGTTCCAAACTTTAGAGTTTTCAATTTGGATACATTTTCAATTGATCTCTTGTACAATCACATCTGAGTCCTGACAGTGGCCAGTGGCATTGTTTCAAAAGAAATCTTCATTACTTTAACCCATGTGTTACACTTTCACAATATATTGCAATACATATTGCAATACGCCAACACATATCGCATATCACCCTCGTCATGTGATACAGCAGGTGTTGTAGAGTCAGTAGTCATGTGATGCAGCAGGTGTTGTAGAGTCACTCGTCATGTGATGCAGCAGGTGTTGTAGAGTCAGTAGTCATGTGATGCAGCAGGTGTTGTAGAGTCACTCTCCATGTGATGCAGCAGGTGTTGTAGAGTCAGTAGTCATGTGATGCAGCAGGTGTTGTAGAGTCACTCGTCATGTGATGCAGCAGGTGTTGTAGAGTCAGTGGTCATGTGATGCAGCAGGTGTTGTAGAGTCACTCGTCATGTGATGCAGCAGGTGTTGTAGAGTCAGTGGTCATGTGATGCAGCAGGTGTTGTAGAGTCACTTTCGTCATGTGATACAGCGGGTGTTGTAGAGTCAGTGGTCATGTGATGCAGCAGGTGTTGTAGAGTCACTTTCGTCATGTGATACAGCAGGTGTTGTAGAGTCACTCGTCATGTGATGCAGCAGGTGTTGTAGAGTCAGTGGTCATGTGATGCAGCAGGCGTTGTAGAGTCAGTGGTCATATGATGCAGCAGGTGTTGTAGAGTCAGTGGTCATGTAATGCAGCAGGTGTTGTAGAGTCAGTGGTCATGTGATGCAGCAGGTGTTGTAGAGTCAGTAGTCATGTGATGCAGCAGGTGTTGTAGAGTCAGTGGTCATGTGATGCAGCAGGTGTTGTAGAGTCACTCGTCATGTGATGCAGCAGGTGTTGTAGAGTCAGTGGTCATGTGATGCAGCAGGTGTTGTAGAGTCACTCGTCATGTGATGCAGCAGGTGTTGTAGAGTCAGTGGTCATATGATGCAGCAGGTGTTGTAGAGTCAGTGGTCATGTAATGCAGCAGTTGTTGTAGAGTCAGTGGTCATGTGATAAAGCAGGTGTTGTAGAGTCACTCTTCATGTGATGCAGCAGGTGTTGTAGAGTCAGTGGTCATGTGATGCAGCAGGTGTTGTAGAGTCAGTGGTCATGTGATGCAGCAGGTGTTGTAGAGTCAGTGGTCATGTGATGCAGCAGGTGTTGTAGAGTCAGTGGTCATGTGATACAGCAGGTGTTGTAGAGTCACTCGTCATGTGATGCAGCAGGTGTTGTAGAGTCACTCGTCATGTGATGCAGCAGGTGTTGTAGAGTCAGTGGTCATATGATACAGCAGGTGTAGAGTCACTCGTCATGTGATGCAGCAGGTGTTGTAGAGTCAGTGGTCATGTGATGCAGCAGGTGTAGAGTCACTCGTCATGTGATGCAGCAGGTGTTGTAGAGTCAGTGGTCATGTGATACAGCAGGTGTTGTAGAGTCAGTGGTCATGTGATGCAGCAGGTGTTGTAGAGTCACTCGTCATGTGATGCAGCAGGTGTGGTAGAGTCAGTGGTCATGTGATGCAGCAGGTGTTGTAGAGTCAGTGGTCATGTGATACAGCAGGTGTTGTAGAGTCACTCGTCATATGATGCAGCAGGTGTGGTAGAGTCACTCGTCATGTGATGCAGCAGGTGTTGTATATGCCACTTTGTGTTGCAGTGCCGGAATGTGTAGTATTCCTGGACTAGAAGGACGAATGCTTGAGTTTTTGGGTCTGTTTGGATGTGCCCATGATGCTTGCTACAGAAAGAATATACCTGCCAAACGGGTGAGTAATGATCACTCTCTGTTGTTGTCCCTCGCCGCAACGCGGAACGGGGGACTATGTATTCAGCGGCGTCCGTCCGTCCCATTTCTTGTTAACGCCATATCTCATGAACTGTTGTACCCAATGTCTTCAAATTTGGTGAAAGCCTACATTGAGGGATTACCCAGACACGAGTCGATTTTGGTGACCTTGACCTCATCTTCAAGGTCACCACGGCACTTTGACCACTTTTCAAACTCTTGTTGACTTGATATCTCATTCACTGTTGTATCCAATGTCTTCATATTTGGTGACAGCCTACATTGGGGGATTCCGCAGACACAAGTCGACTGGGGTGACCTTGATCTTATTTTCAAGGTCACCATGACATTTTGACCACTTTTCAAACTCTTGTTAACGCAATTTCTCATGAACTGTTGTACCCAATGTCTTCAAATTTGGTGACAGCCTACATTTGGGGATTACACAGACACCAGTCGATTTTGGTGACCTTGACCTTATCTTCAAGGTCACCACGACACTTTGACCACTTTTCAAACTCTTGTTAACGCGATATCTCAGGAAGTGTTCTACCCAATGTCTTCAAATTTGGTGACAGCCTACACTGGGGGATTACCCAGACAACAGTTGATTTTGGCGACCTTGACCTTTTCTTCAAGGCCACCACGACACTTTGACCACTTTTCAAACTTATGTAAACGCGATATCTCATAAAACATTGCACCCAATGTCTTCAATTATGTCGACAGCCTACATTGGGTAATTATGCAGACATCTGTGATTTCAAGCATCTTGTATGTGAGCAAAAAATAAGAAGCACTAAATATGTTATGAATATTCCATTCCTTAGTGGCGGGGGGACATTGCCATATTAGTGGCAAACACTTGTCTGTTTTATCCCGGGGGTCAAGTGACCTACATACGTGTAGCAATGATTAAGGGGTTCAAATCAGCCATGCTTGTATCAAATCCAGTCAGGACAAAAAAATATAGGTGAGCTTGTTGGTTCACCTAAAAGACATGATGTAGTTTCTGACTGTGCATTATACACAACATGTTCCCCAAACTTGTACCCAATAACAGGAGGTTGACATTATACTCAGGAGTTAATTATCTCCCTTTGAGAAATCAATTCATGTTTAGTATTTGCATTTTTTAAAAGAATATAATCATTGTTATCCATTTTTATCTCTTTAAAATCAGGTAAAAATGTAAAATTGGTTCTGCTGATCTGTAATATGTTGGTCAAATTTGGTTGGGCATTTTAATGCTCTACACTTTTGTTTTATTCATCTAATGTCTGTTTATGGTTGAAATTAATTAATGAACCGCCACTAGGACATAAATCGACATCACATGCACACAGCCATTTAGTTCTGTAGCTCATGCAAACCTGAACATATTTTTTCCTCTTGAGTTAACTGTTTCATAAGTTTATAAGATTCATAGTGAGTGAGTGAGTTTAGTTTTACGCCGCAGAGATCCGATAATCTTTAATGAGATTATCAAAAGGCTTCAAAGCTGCTGATAAGGCCTCTTCTACTGTGCTTCACTGACTCTGGTGTAGCAGGCGGAGGTGTTTCCAAATCAGATGAGTCAGAGGGGACACCTAGTTCCCCGGAGTCCGACTGATTATCTGACATGATTTCAGCGTCTGTTAAGAGTCCTAGTGCTTAAATTCTTAGACATCTTCTACTGACTATTTTAATGGTAACACATACTTCCCCAAGGTGGAGTGAGTGTAGTTTTACGCCACTCTCAGCAATATTTCAGGTATATGGCGGCGTTCTTTTAATAATCGATTCTGGAGCAGACAATCCAGTGATCAACCGCATAAGCATTGATCTAAGCAATTGGGATACGTTGACAGGTCAACCAAGTCAGCGAGCCTGACTACCCGATCCTGTTAGATGCCTCTTACGACAAGCATGGGCTACTGAAGGTCAATTCTAACCTGGATCTTCACGGGTTTATAAGATATATAAACTGTTGTGTACAGTTGATAATGTTCAAACATGTCCTTGTTTCATGACAGGTGTTGTGCAGGTTGATCACGTAGTGTGTGGAGTCTGAGCCCTACAGGTTGTTCAGGACAGGTGTTGTGCAGGTTGATCATGTTGTGTGTGGAGTGTGAGCCCTACAGGTTGTCCAGGACAGGTGTTGTGCAGGTTGATCATGTTGTGTATGGTTGCTGGTGTTGCAGGTGACCGGTGAGAGTGATGAGGAGCAGGTCCTGCTGTCCCTACAGGTGTACCAGGACAGGTGTGGTCTGCTCATCAAGGCTCTCAACAGTGTCTTCCATCTTTTCCGTAACTTTGCAGTCAGTAGACAGTGTGCAGTTCTTGAGGTAAGTTGACCAAGAGGGACTGATTAATGTTATGACAGATTTATGTGTGTTGTATTCACAGATGATTTGTTAACAGATACAAACATTGGTGAATATTTTATTGTATGCATCAATAGGAATCAATTCCAGCCTCATTAAGGCCGAGAGACGCATATATGGGGCAAATTAATCAGCTCCTCACAGCGAGTGACGTGTTTATGGGGCAGGTAATTAGCAGTTTCTCACAGTTTCCCACATACAGTCGTCAACAGAAAGCACCTCTTATTCAGCGAGAGACGCATATGTGTGTTGTACTTTTAAAAATCGCACTGTACCTATTATTTCAACCAATTTAGCAGTACTGAGCAAATATTAGCTTTTCTTACGAGAGATCCCACCTTTAGTATCAATCAGAATGAAGTATTTAAAGTGTTTTGATAACAATTGCTAATCATTATCATAGGCTTGTACAGCGTTTAGCAAATGAAGCGCATGTCGGCGAAAGGGATTATGATGTTTTTACAGAGGTAAGTGCCTGGTACTCTTCCTTGGGAATGGATACTAAAATACTTCATTATGCACCTTGATTGAATTAGATGTAATGGTTTAGAGGTTACTAAAAATTATATTTCCTTCAACTCGTAATAAATAGGAAACAATATACGAAATTTCAAGGACATACAAAGAATTCAAACACAATAGAATAGTTTGAATTTACTTTTTAGGCATCATTACGTTGTCATGTTTCATATACTGAAACATAATGTATAAACACAAGTAATTATACATCCAAGCTCGAATAGATTAAACATAATTGAACTTACTAATTTGAAGTTTACTGAATTGTAACTAGTTGTTTTCCATAATCTAAAGTTCGTAATGTTACCTAAGCGAATATAAAGTGATAAGTCGAGCCTTTGCATCGAATACATATATACATGTCAGTGTTATTACAACAATGAAATGTTTTACTACATTTGTTACAAAAGACAGTAAGTTGGTAATTCAAAACATTGTCACACATGGACAGAAGTAATATCATAAGTTATTACATGTAAGCCATACAAAGGTATTTTAAGCATTTTTGTTCAAGCTGTTGAAAGTTTCATGTTGATTTGAATTGTCAGTTTTCTATGCAATTTACATAAGCATTCTGTAAAACGTTTGTATTTGATCTGTGTAATTATCAAATCCGGTGCAATTATCACGTGTATCAATCAACTCAGTCTCTATTGATCCATCGTCAATAACAGCTGGATAGTATATCAGTTCACGGTATCGATACATCGCATTATAATCATTCAAGCAGATTACAGTAATGAGATAATTAGGCGCCTCTTTTGACCTTGAAATAACAGCCTCCGGTAGAATGCATATGTAGTTACGTCCTTGTTGAAAGGTTTGCCCCGTGACAAGTGTAAAATAAACAGATGCGCTGTTATATCATTGGACACCTTGCTTTATGGAGTCCGCCCTCTCTCTGTGATGTTTATACATGCATGCACATCTGTAATCTTATGAACCCTCGTTTGCATTCAGTAAAGATATAGGCACGCCCACCTTCATAAATATTGGGGTTGGGGTGTCAACTGCAAGTTTATACACTATAATAATTCAGTATAGTGTCACCTTGTGAATTCTGTAATGTGTGTACTCTAGTTTGGATAGTCATTCGTATCAAGGTGAAGATTATATTTACATGTACAGCAAACCATTATGTTTTATGTACTAGTTGTGTGCATAAAATGTATATGAAAATAAATACTACCTCTACTCAGTGGTTGGATTTCAATCGCTTTGTTTTACTTATCGAAAAACACTAAAATGAGGACAAATAAACTCGCCAAAGTGACTATCTACTCCTATTTGTCTTATGTGTATATTTCATACATCGTTACCAGTGTGTATGTTTACAATACACAAACTGTTACATGATAGCTTGAGTTGATAAAGCCGAAACCCAGCATATCGACTGGTCAAGGATATAGCCAATAACCAATCTCTATCCAAGCTGCTGAGTGACCAAAGCGTGCTCTTCAGAAATTTCACCCGGCCCGTCACCTGTCCTTTCCTCTTTGACAGGTATCTCATGATCATGATTGGTCGCAGATAACATATGACCAGCCCCTATACTGAACAGTTGAGATACCAGTGTGTATGTTTACAATACACAAACTGTTACACGATAGCTTGAGTTGATAAAGCGAAACCCAGCATATCGACTGGTCAAGGATATAGCCAATAACCAATCTCTATCCAAGCTGCTGAGTGACCAAAGCGTGCTCTTCAGAAATTTCGCCCATGCCCCATCACCTGTCCTTTCCTGTGTGACAGGTATCTCATGATCACGATTGGTCACAGATAACATATGACCAGCCACTACGTTGAACAGTTGAGATACCGAACTTTATATTAGGAAATTTGATGGCCCTATCACGTGACTCTTTGTTTTATGTCTATGCAAGGAATATGTAGTATACATTTTGTATATGTATGTTTGTATGGTCGCATTATGTTTTCTGCATTAAATCTGTATGAAATAAAGTGCAATGCTATGAATGTGCTTTGTGCTAGTCACAGACTAGCGTTATAGTACTTTCATTAAAGTAATTAAGTAAACACTAGAAATGTATCGGCAAAACCGCTATTTTAGGTAGAAGATTATAAAGTATGAAAGTAAATTCTTCTTTACAGTATGTCATTGTCATAGATGTTTTGTAAATTTAAACCTCACACAATGATATAAGAGACAGAATTTGTTAACGTGTGTCTCATCTGTTACATACAAAGAATACATGTGTATGCATATTGTGATAAAATATAAATGTACACGCCGATAAAAGGTCTACAAGAGAAACTTGCAATAAAATTACATAAAGCTTGCAATACACGACATGTATTCACACCTGATTTCTTTCAACATATATCTTTACGACACAATTAAACAATCAGGACTTGTTTGTACGACTAGACAGTTTCCTGTGATCCCCGAAACCTGCCAGGGAAATCAGGTGTGACTAGCACTAATTAGTCTCTGCACACAGAGTGGGCAATCAGCGAGGGCTTCCAGGTGTTGAGTAGTGATGGGGCTCTCGGGCTTAATGAGTTAAAGGCTGGTATATACCGGATAACGGAAACACTGTTTTCCTTGAACTTTATGTTCAAACAGTGACATTCAGTTGGTTTAACTGGGGTTTTAGATTAATAAATTGAAAACATAGACAACACACAACTGAAACATTGTCACAGTGTTTCTGTTGTCCTGTATATACCGGTCTTTGACCGGGACAAAGTTAGAATGTCCGGTAATTTCAAAGGCTACCAGTCATCGTGTCAGGCAAATTCTTAAAAATCAGTTTTCTAATTTATGCATTTCTGATTGGTTGTTAGAGTGCAAGGTCTCATGTACAATGAAAAGCTTGATCACTTGACAGGTAAAATTTACAAATGACCGGTATTTGAAATGCTAGCCGGTCACAATGTCCAGCTGTATAAAAAGCCAGTGGAAACACTGGTGAAATTATTCATGGGTACACAGCTGTATTGTTAGTTAGGCATTAGGACACAAGATACGTTTTTTCCATGGTATTTCCGTTTGATTACAAGACAACACAATCTCTAAATCACTGCTTGTTAATGACACCCACTTCAGCATTTGTCAGTCAAATGTCGCAAAATGTGTTAAATTAGTGTTTCACTGTTCACTACTATAAATAACTGCTGTGAACTTGTATCTGACACCTAATTATTCCTTTGGAACCTGTTCTGATATATTTACTTAAGAAGATGATTTGACGTAAATATGTATCACATCGTGACCTGTGTATCATGATATGTACCTTGCTCGATTGTTTCACCTACCTTTAATATAGATCGAAGCCAAATATCAAGTTCATTGTCAAGATCTCTTCATTCATTATGAATAAAGCAAACAAGTTTATTGATAACAATTTCTTGTATATTGCATAGAGCGATATAGATTCTTACACCGTTATGAAGCTGAAAGCACTCTTATCTAATCTGAAATGTTACTCTATGCAATAAACAAGAAGTTGTCATCCATAAAGTTGTATGCTTCATTACTGATTCACCAACTAGAATGCTGATCAAACAATTCATTCACAAAATTGATTGTACCTTTGTTTCAGAATGTGCTAGTGAGTGGGTTTAGTTTTACACCGCTTTTAGCAATATTCCAGCAATATCATGGCTGGGGACACTAGAAATGGGCTTCATACATTGTACCCATGTGGGGAATCGAACCCGGGTCTTCAGCTTGACAAGGAAACGCTACGCCGCCGGCCAGAATGTACTAACCATCTGTTGGAGAAATAATGAAATAAATATGAAAACTATTTTGGGGCATTTTGATTTATTCTGCATGAACAATGGTGTGTCTTCTATACTGTACTCCACCATGTATGAAAAGGTGTGGAGCTTCAAAGGACAACATCACCACCTGATTTGATGAAGTTCTGGAATAGTGAGTTAAAGTCACACATGACAATGTGATCTGACAGTAGGCAGCCATACTGAACAGGCAGCCATACCAAACAGGAATGGAGTCATTTAATTAAATTCTTCAAATTCTTGATTGTATTCAGGTTCATACAATAGATGATTGATGACAAGACGTTTTGTTTCAGGCCATCTTGGCTGGCATGAAGCGCCACATCTGGGACAAACAGGTGCAGATTGTAGGCAGGTAAAGTGTACACAGTTTCAATTCACCAGAAAACTCAGACAGCTGCAAGTATATGAAGTATTCTGTCGTCAATCCATTTCATATGTTTCTGACAATGCCATTTAGGGCTCGATTTAAGCATTTAGAACTTGCACTGGTGCAACCTGAAACTGCTAAATGCAACCTCTTATATATCCACTTGCACCCAGTGCATGCTAATATTTTGTGATCAAAGAACACAGACTTCAGCTGGAAAACAGAATGAGGAACTGACTTGGAACAGTGACTCTAATTATTGTAGGAACAGTGACTGAAGGAATTGCTGTTCATGAAAGTTTAGGAAGTAAGATAACTACAGATTTCTTTTGTTATAATACTGTTCTTAATCGTCTTTACCAAAACTCAAGCATTATAAAAGAGTTTTTATCAAGCAGGAGGTGCAACATGTATTTGTTTGGTGCAACAAGGTTATTGCCTTAGGTTGCACTGGGTGCAAGTAGGTTTCATTTCCTTAAATCGACCACTGCGATGTCTGCTAGAATGTCATGTCTGCTTCATTGAATGTCATGTAGGACCATATTCAGGACCATATTTAAAAATAAATAATTAATTGTGTTTTTATTTCTGAAAATTGTGCTCCACTGTCTGATAAGTGACTGTGTTGTTTCAGTGCATCATTGTTCTATATAGCCAAGGGGGATCAAAAAGACTACATCACTCAGAAACAAAGGAGGTAAGTCAGTGGCATCTAGGGGTGACTATTGAGGGGAAAACAACTGTTGCAATAGTGATAGTCTTTTGCAACATACTATTACGATAGCGATAGTCTGTTGCGACCAACTATTGCAATCCTATTGCAATAACATTTTTCTCCTTGATATGTGTCATTTGAAGTTATTTCCCAATATTTCAACAATTGCAATCCATCGATAGTTTGATGCATCGTTACAGCCGTAGTGGCATCTCTTGCTGGCACAAAATACCAAACAAAAAATAACCCGTCCTGAGTAATGTAAAACACCAAGTTCCAAGGTATAATTTGTGTTCTGGTAGAATTTATACTGGAACATTTCCCATGAAACGTTCTTTTCCTGGTAGAATTACTGCAGAAATGTTTCTCAGGGTAGAATTATTGCTGGAAAGTGTTCATGGTAGAATTGCTGGTTGAATGTGTCCCTGGGTGGAATTACTGCTGGAATGTGTCTCAGGGTAGAATTACTGCAGAATGTGCCTCAGGGTAGAATTACTACAGGATGTGTCTCAGGGTAGAATTACTGCTGGAATGTGTCTCAGGGTAGAATTACTGCAGAATGTGCCTCAGGGTAGAATTACTACAAGATGTGTCTCAGGGTAAAATTACTACAGGAATGTGTCCCTGGTGGAATTACTGCAGGAATGTGTCTCAGGGTAGAATTAATGGTTGAATGTGTCCCTGGGTAGAATTACTGCAGGGTGTGTCTCAGGGTAGAATTACTGCAGGATGTGTCTCAGGGTAGAATTACTACAGGAATGTATCCCTGGTGGAATTACTGCAGGAATGTGTCTCAGGGTAGAATTACTACAGGGTGTGTCTCAGGGTAGAATTACTGCAGGGTGTGTCTCAGGGTAGAATTACTACAGGAATGTGTCTCAGGGTAGAATTACTACAGGAATGTGTCTCAGGGTAGAATTACTACAGAATGTGTCTCAGGGTAGAATTACTACAGGGTGTATCTCAGGGTAGAATTCCTACAGGAATGTGTCTCAGGGTAGAATTACTTCAGAATGTGTCTCAGGGTAGAATTACTACAGGATGTGTCTCAGGGTAGAATTACTGCAGGAATGTGTCTCAGGGTAGAATTACTACAGGAATGTGTCTCAGGGTAGAATTACTTCAGAATGTGTCTCAGGGTAGAATTACTACAGGATGTGTCTCAGAATTACAGAATTACTGCAGGGTGTGTCTCAGGGTAGAATTATTACAGAATGTATCTCAGGGCAGAATTACTTCAGGGAATGTGTCTCAGGGTAGAATTACTCAGAATGTGTCTCAGGGTAGAATTACTACAGAATGTGTCTCAGGGTAGAATTACTACAGGAATGTGTCTCAGGGTAGAATTACTGCAGGGCTCTTGTGTCTCAGAGGTAGAATTACTACAGGAATGTGTCTCAGGGTAAAATTACTACACAGAATGTGTCTCAGGGTAGAATTACTACAGGAATGTGTCTCAGGGTAGAATTACTGCTGGAATGTGTCTCAGGGGTAGAATTACTACAGGAATGTGTCTCAGGGTAGAATTACTTCAGGAATGTGTCTCAGGGTAGAATTACTGCAGGAATGTGTCTCAGGGTAGAATTACTGCTGGAATGTGTCCTCAGGGTAGAATTACTACAGGAATGTGTCTCAGGGTAGAATTTACTGGCTGGAATGTGTCCTCAGGGTAGAATTATCTACAGAATGTGTCTCAGGGTAGAATTACTACAGGAATGTGTCTCAGGGTAGAATTACTGCAGGAATGTGTCTCAGGGCAGAATTACTACAGGAATGTGTCTCAGGGTAGAATTACTGCAGGATGTGTCCCAGGGTAGAATTACTACAGGAATGTGTCCCAGGGTAGAATTACTACAGGAATGTGTCTCAGGGTAGAATTACTACAGGAATGTGTCTCAGGGTAGAATTACTACAGGAATGTGTCTCAGGGTAGAATTACTGGTAGGAATGTGTCTCAGGGTAGAATTACTACAGGAATGTGTCCTCAGGGTAGAATTACTACAGGAATGTGTCTCAGGGTAGAATTACTACAGGAATGTGTCTCAGGGTAGAATTACTACAGGAGATGTGTGTCCTCAGGGTAGAATTACTACAGAATGTGTCTCAGGGTAGAATTACTCACAGGAATGTGTCTCAGGGTAGAATTACTACAGGAATGTGTCTCAGGGTAGAATTACTACAGAATGTGTCTCAGGGTAGAATTACTACAGGAATGTGTCTCAGGGTAGAATTACTACAGGAATGTGTCTCAGGGTAGAATTACTACAGGAATGTGTCTCAGGGTAGAATTACTTCAGAATGTGTCTCAGGGTAGAATTACTACAGGAATGTGTCTCAGGGTAGAATTACTACAGAATGTGTCTCAGGGTAGAATTACTACAGAATGTGTCTCAGGGTAGAATTACTACAGGAATGTGTCTCAGGGTAGAATTACTACAGGAATGTGTCTCAGGGTAGAATTACTACAGGAATGTGTCTCAGGGTAGAATTACTACAGGAATGTGTCTCAGGGTAGAATTACTACAGGAATGTGTCTCAGGGTAGAATTACTACTGGAATGTGTCTCAGGGTAGAATTACTACAGAATGTGTCTCAGGGTAGAATTACTACAGGAATGTGTCTCAGGGTAGAATTACTACAGGAATGTGTCTCAGGGTAGAATTACTACAGGAATGTGTCTCAGGGTAGAATTACTACAGAATGTGTCTCAGGGTAGAATTACTACAGGAATGTGTCTCAGGGTAGAATTACTACAGGAATGTGTCTCAGGGTAGAATTACTACAGGAATGTGTCTCAGGGTAGAATTACTACAGGAATGTGTCTCAGTCTCAGGTAGAATTACTACAGGAATGTGTCTCAGGGTAGAATTTACAGGAATGTGTCTCAGGGTAGAATTACTACAGGAATGTATCTCAGGGTAGAATTACTTCAGAATGTCTCAGGGTAGAATTACTACAGGAATGTGTCTCAGGGTAGAATTACTACAGGAATGTGTCTCAGGGTAGAATTACTACAGGGAATGTGTCTCAGGGTAGAACTACTGTCAGGGTAGAATGTGTCTCAGGGTAGAATTACTACAGGAATGTGTCTCAGGGTAGAATTACTACTTGAATGTGTCTCAGGGTAGAATTACTGCAGGAATGTGTCTCAGGGTAGAATTACTACAGGAATGTGTCTCAGGGTAGAATTACTACAGAATGTGTCTCAGGTAGAATTACTGCAGGAGAATGTGTCTCAGGGTAGGAATTACTACAGGATGTGTCTCAGGGTAGAATTACTGCAGGAATGTGTCTCAGGGTAGAATTATTACAGGAATGTATCTCAGGGTAGAATTACTTCAGGAATGTGTCTCAGGGTAGAATTACTTCAGAATGTGTGTCTCAAGGTAGAATTACTACAGAATGTGCCTTAGGGTAGAATTACTACAGAATGTGTCTCAGGGTAGAATTACTACAGGATGTTACCAAGGTATAATTTGTGTTCTGGTAGAATTTATACAGGGAACATTTCCATGAAAAGTTCTTTCCTGAGTAGAATTACTGCAGAAATGTTCTCAGGGTAGAATTATTGCTGGAAAGTGTTCATGGTAGAATTGCTGGTTGAATGTGTCCCTGGGTGGAATTACTGCTGGAATGTGTCTCAGGGTAGAATTACTGCAGAATGTGCCTCAGGGTAGAATTACTACAGAATGTGTCTCAGGGTAGAATTACTTCAGAATGTGTCTCAGGGTAGAATTACTACAGGATGTGTCTCAGGGTAGAATTACTGCAGGGTGTGTCTCAGGGTAGAATTATTACAGAATGTATCTCAGGGGTAGAATTACTTCAGGAATGTGTCTCAGGGTAGAATTACTTCAGAATGTGTCTCAAGGTAGAATTACTACAGAATGTGCCTTAGGGTAGAATTACTACAGAATGTGTCTCAGGGTAGAATTACTACAGGAATTACCAAGGTATAATTTGTGTTCTGGTAGAATTTATACTCAGGGAACATTTCCCATGAAAGTTCTTTCCTGGTAGAATTACTGCAGAAATGTTTCTCAGGGTAGAATTATTGCTGGAAAGTGTTCATGGTAGAATTGCTGGTTGAATGTGTCCCTGGGTGGAATTACTGCTGGAATGTGTCTCAGGGTAGAATTACTGCAGAATGTGCCTCAGGCAGAATTACTACAGAATGTGTCTCAGGGTAGAATTACTGCAGGGAATGTGTCTCAGGGTAGAATTACTGCAGGATGTGTCTCAGGGTAGAATTACTGCAGGGTGTGTCTCAGGGTAGAATTATTACAGAATGTATCTCAGGGTAGAATTACTACAGGAATGTGTCTCAGGGCAGAATTACTTCAGAATGTGTCAAGGGTAGAATTACTACAGAATGTGTCTCAGGGGTAGAATTACTGCAGAATGTGTCTCAGGGTAGAATTACTACAGGAATTACCAAGGTATAATTTGTGTTCTGGTAGAATTTATACTGGAACATTTCCCATGAAAAGTTCTTTTCCTGGTAGAATTACTGCAGAAATGTTTCTCAGGGTAGAATTATTGCTGGAAAGTGTTCATGGTAGAATTGCTGGTTGAATGTGTCCCTGGGTGGAATTACTGCTGGAATGTGTCTCAGGGTAGAATTACTGCAGAATGTGCCTCAGGGTAGAATTACTACAGGATGTGTCTCAGGGTAGGGGTACTGCTGGATGTGTCTCAGGGTAGAATTACTGCAGAATGTGCCTCAGGGTAGAATTACTACAAGATGTGTCTCAGGGTAAAATTACTAGAGGAATGTGTCCCTGGTGGAATTACTGCAGGAATGTGTCTCAGGGTAGAATTAATGGTTGAATGTGTCCCTGGGTAGAATTACTGCAGGGTGTGTCTCAGAAGGGTAGAATTACTGCAGGAATGTGTCTCAGGGTAGAATTACTACAGGAATGTATCCCTGGTGGAATTACTGCAGGAATGTGTCTCAGGGTAGAATTACTACAGGGTGTGTCTCAGGGCAGAATTACTGCAGAATGTGTCCTCAGGGTAGA